AATGTATGCTGAAGTTGTTTGGATTGCTAGTCTGCAGTATAAACAATATAAGCTGAAGTTGTTTTATTGGTTTGTCTCCAATATAAACAATATATGGAAGTTGTTTTAATGGCTTGTCTCTAATATAAACAATGTATGCTGAAGTTGTTTTAAAGGCTTGTCTCCAATATAAACAATATATGCTGAAGTTGTTTTAATGGCTAGTCTGCAATATAAACAATGTATGCTGAAGTTGTTTTAATGGCTAGTCTCCAATATAAACAATATATGCTGAAGTTGTTTTGATTGCTAGTCTGCAATATAAACAATATATGCTTAAGTTGTTTTAATGGCTTTTCTCCAATATAAACAATATATGCTGAAGTTGTTTTAATGTCTAGTCTCCAATATAAACAATATATGCTGAAGTTGTTTTAATGGCTAGTCTCCAATATAAACAATATATGCTGAAGTTGGTTGGATTGCTAGTCTGCAATATAAACAATATATGCTGAAGTTGTTTCAATGGCTAGTCTCCAATATAAACAATATATGGTGAAGTTGGTTGGATTGCTAGTCTGCAATATAAACAGTATATGCTGAAGTTGTTTTAATGGCTAGTCTGCAATATAAACAATATATGCTGAAGTTGTTTCAATGGCTAGTCTCCAATATAAACAATATATGGTGAAGTTGGTTGGATTGCTAGTCTGCAATATAAACAATATATGCTGGAGTTGTTTTAATGACTAGTTTGCAATATAAACAATATATGCTAAAGTTGTTTTAATGGCTAGTCTCCAATATAAACAATATATGCTTAAGTTGTTTTAATGGCTTGTCTCCAATATAAACAAAAAGACTTTCCTGTTACGTAATATCATTTGTGATTTTCTGCGGTGTACGTAGAACACCTCCTGTATTTCAGCAGAAAATTGACAATACAGTGATTATTTAACACTAAAATGTACTATACTATACTATTTGAAAATTATATAGAAAAACATCTCGTAATAGAAGGAAATGAATATGGGTCTGTAGCAGTATTAAGTATATAATGACATGTACTGTGGTATTCTTGTTCTGGGAAAATACTGTTTTTAAAGGTGGGGTGAATTATAGGTTTATTTTATCCGTGTCTGATAAAATAGTTTATGTAAAGGTTTTGGTAGATTTTTTTGTAATAATTTGTTCCATTATGATTCCAAAAGCAAAACTTAAGAACAACACCTGTATAAATACTGTATTGAAGAAATGTTATTTTTGAACAGACGTGCTGCTTGATTCCATGTGTTTACTACTGTATACCTGTTATTCCAGCAAGTATAATTAGTAGGGTGTTAGACTTCCTGTGTAGATACCTGCTGTAAATTTAATTGTAGTTATTTATTAGTATATGATTCTGTTGGTGTGTCACTAACTGAGATGCATTTTTATTTTGATATAATAACAATTGAGAAACATTGCTATATAATGAGTTTTACACTAATTAGAATACATCATGATTTTAGATTGAGATATTAATAGGTGTACGACTGATTCATATACAATGTAATAAATTTCTGTAGCTCGTTAATTTTGTAACCTTCGTTTCACTGTTTTTCACTGTATTATTGTCCGTCGATATGTCTTCATGACGTCGGGCCTAACAGATGTTACAATGTTTGTTTAATTGTCTTACTTCTATCACAGTTTATCTTACTAAACACTTACTTTACATCGTAAATTGTGTAAATTGTTTACATTTTTGTTTGACCGAGAGAAAGGTAGATGGAGAAGTCTTAGTTCCTGTTATCAATCTAGTATTCCCATAGCTGTCAACCCTATCTTATTATTCCGTCTTTGTGTATTGCAGAGTTGTCTGCTCTTGTGAGCAGGTATTGATTGTTACGCCTTTAGTTTGTGTGAGAAAATAACGTCGTTTTCTCAAAAATTTATGACGTTACTCTCACAAACAAATGACGTAACAATCAATACATGCTCACAAGAGCAGATAACTCTGCAATACGAAAAGACAGAATAAGGGAGATTCACTCATTTTGACCAAGTTTACCAATCTCCCTCATTCAAGTACAAACTCAAAATCAAATGATCTCCTACAGATGTAGTTACTGCATGCAGGGTGTGTGTAATGACCATAACAGGCGTGTCTGAATCAAATGAATACTTTTTGGAGTTATTTTGATACATAAAATGGTAAAGATAGATTGAGCAATACAGTTTCAGTCATGCAGGTTTCACACACTTTTTTCCTCGTTGAAACTGTGGAATGGGGGAGATCTCACTAAATGGAGGAATCAGAGGTTGACACCTATGTATTCAGAGTGTGTTGATTTCGTGCACTGTTTTATACATTTGTCAAGTTGAATAGACAATTATACTGCAAGTCTACCAACAGCCATATAGAGGTAACGGAAATGTAAACAACATGTATTTACAACACTGGGTAACCATTTGTCTTTATCTTCACACTGGATGTAAATTTTTACTGTGAAATCACGAATTTATGTGGGGTATTTTATTTCTGTGATTTGGTGGGTACTCTTTCCCAATGAATTTGAAGGTCCACCAACTAATTACAGGTTTAATATAAAGTGATTTTTCATATGCATGGGTATCTATAATCCTCATATTCATGAACCAACGACAGTGTTTTGGGGGGAAACCACAAAATTTGGGCCCCAATGTAAATATCTGATTTCACAATACTCTATTACAAATATTGATTGATGATTACAACTGTTCAAAGTCTGATTAGTTTAACGATAAATAAATATAAATCCTTGTAAGTTAGTTTTCCAAAAAAAATGATACTCAAAAATAACATTGCATCTATAGGATTTCAAAGTCACTATATATCTGAAGATAAAGGTTACAACAAAATAATATGTGATTTTTTCTATATTCTCAAAAATCTTATATTGAAAATATCATATATATATATATGTGTGTTAACAAAAAATAAGTTAATCATTCTTTGAGTATCAGGGCCCAAGTTGTGTAGTGTAGATTTATTTTACTTCAAGGATGACCTGTACATATATTCACCCTCCTGATAAAACCCACCTAAGCTATGATGGGCAATCCCAAAACAATGATTTTATATGATCATTATATTATGGGTGTCACTGACAGACGAGGCTAGAACCTGTGATCTATGAACACATTTTTATGTGTGGAGAATCTAATGCTTATTTACTCAGTGTGGAAAAAACATGCATTTCCACACCATTAAACAATTCTTCTTTTATAAATAACAGTATCAAATTTAAATGTTATTGAATTTTTAAATTTAGTTTTACAGACTTGTTGATGTAATTCCTTTAGTGGAAAGCTCTGTTAAACTAGAAATATATGTACAAGGTCTTCAGGACTGGCTGACTATGCCAGCTATACAGTGAGAGTTTCTTATGTTGCCATCACTTGACAAAATGTGTATAAAGGGGTGTGCTGATTATAAGGGAATTTGAATTATGTTATTATTAGGCTAGACGGCAGTTGAAACGTGGAGTATATGTAAAGGTTTTACTATAATGTAGCTATTTCAGAAATTGTTTTGTTTGTTTTCTTTTCAGAAAGATGTCATTTATCTTATAGCTGTTTATAAAGAAATTTTAATAAAGAAATATTCATGTGTCTACAGACTGAAGTTGAGTTTTTATCATAATTACACGCTTCAACAACAGGTCATTTTATGGTAGATCCTTAAATCTGAATTGAGAGATTTTTTGTAAGGAAAGTTTGATCTTTCCAAGAGATTACATGGATTATCATCATAATTGGTTTGAAATATTAAAAAAACAAGTTGATCATGCTTTGTAATGTATTATTAGAGTTGACCGGATAAATTGAGTGTGTTGCTGTTCATTTAAAAAATAATCCAGATACCTACATATATCCTCTTTTAATTACATATCAGGCATAAAGAGACAAATATATTCATGCTGCCAGGATTAGCCAAATTAATGTTCCTGCCCCACCCAGGGGACTTGGTCCTGCATCATATCTTGGAAATGGGCAGGGATCGATCCCCATATTAAATCTTCACACAATTTTGTTGGACATATACATAAAGTCCACACAAAAAAATGTATTTCGGATAGCATTGAGTAGATCGGGAGGCAAATAATTTTATTTGGATATTTATTTTTTATGCATTTCCACATATAACGGTTTCTATTAGTTTATCAAGAATAGGGTCAGATTCCCAGAACAGGAAGAAAGAACACTTTATTGTGCATGGCTAATGAATGAAGCTTAGAATTACAAGTATAGGTGATAATATTTCTAGGGTCAACAGAAAAAATGTGAATAGGTCAGGATAGGCCTTACCTGAAAGACAATGGGGGACCGGTACCTCACTCACTGAACACACACATATATATGCTTCTTAGGATCAACTCCTGGATCCAGCCCCACCCTTGTGACTTAGTACATAGGTCATAACAATGGAAGCAGTTGCAATCCCCACCCCATTACCGCATAGAACTGTAGAAACTATTCATGCTACCAGAATTTGCGTCTGCCCTGAGGACTTTCCCTGAGTCGGGTTGAGATTCCCACCCTATAAACAAACAATTGCTAATTACCACAAAGAGATAAACACAAACATACCACCAGGATTGGTCTTTGGTCAGCCTTTCCCCCTGGTTAGTTTTTTTTAACTTTTTAAATAGTCCCGAATACCATGCTAATGAATCAGCTCTAACTTTGTTATAATGGGATACAATATATAATGCAAAAGAAAATGTTAATTTACTTAAAAGGAACTTTGGTTTACTTCACTCTTTTGTTTTGTCTTAGTTAAATATATTACTATTGTAACCTTTCTATCTTATTTGATTTTCTGAGTAGATCACGACTATGTCACAGGTGCTGGACACACCCCTTGGTTAAAGATAACCGAGGTCTTATCCGGCATGTCTCAGCAGCATAACTACGGTATTCAAGCATTACGTTGATAATGATTTCTATCCTGAAATACTACCAGACAAACGCATTGATGTTCATGATTATGCTCCCGCCATTGACGAAATACACAGGAAGTATAACTTTGTCGTTGAAAAAAGAACGAACGAAAACTTTTATAAAGAGATAGAATCTTGGGTATGTTGCGTTGGTGAAAGTTCATTCAAGGTTTAAAGCACACGTTCCTTTACTAAATTGTTTAAACTATATGGACAAAAACGTTTATTGAATGAAACCCCTTGGCCGAAAAAACATGATACTTTTTAAGTTTTGGCTCAGTTGAGTCAGTATCGCGACTTGTATCTGCAGTACCAGGGCCAGTATTCAAGAAGTCGTTATCATGTTCAAACATGGATTTTGTGCTCAATCTTGTTCCAGTTATAGATTGATAAAAATATTATTGTGTCAATGATTTGGAATAAATGTAAGGAGACTAAAAAAAACACTTAAGTTTTCAGTTTCTGCATTTGACTTTTTGATCGTTTTAAGAGAGTTATAAGAAATCTGGTTTGAGCACAGAATCCATGATTCAGCATGAAAAAGGTTTCTTAAATACGGACCATGAGGTCGGACAGTTCCCCAGATGCAGACAGGCTGCAGTCACAGCATCTGCGGTCTACAGAACGACGTCCTTAGTGTAGTCCTCGCTGTCCTCCTATGAGAAACATCTCACTGGCTTTTAAGATGTATTGGGAAATCTATGATGTCAACCTTATCAGAGTCAAGCTGATATAAACTTGATGACTTTATTTTTCTCTTACCCTGGACAGGTGTTTTTTCTCTTATAACCATGGACAGGTTTATTTTCTCTTACCCTGGACAGGTTTATTTTCTCTTACCCTGGACAGGTGTATTTTCTCTTAACCTGGACAGGTGTATTCGCAGTCTTATTCTTGTCTCGCCCTGGGGTTAAGACATTGGGATTCCCCAGTCATAACAATTGTATGACATCATGTCAACACAGCAGTACAGTGACATCACATCAACAATGCATTATGTATATAACAGGGAAATTAAGAGAAAAGGAATCCTTTGCTCCATCGAGGTGAGATAGGAAATCTCAACTCTCAGGAAAAAATCCTTAAGCTGCCAAACACTGCTGGCCTTGTCTTCCTCTGGTGATTACTGATATGCCCACATTTCACCAAAAAGAAGGTGAAAGATTCTATTACCGTATTATGTGATATTTTGGATGTGATTAGATTTTGGTTTATTTGGCGCTCGGAGTGAGTGAGCCAAAATTAAACATACCAAAATTTTACGATGCCAAAATGTATCGTCACGACATCTGAATAATGGCAGACTATCTTCCAACACATTTATTATGCATCAATTACAAACTTCTGTGTGCTATATTTCATGGAAGCGAAAGTGAAATATTCTATTTGTCTTGTATCCCTTTAATTATTACAGAATACCTGTGCAGATGCCCCCGAAAACAAAAAAACGAGCTCGGGGGGATTTAAAGATCGCCAAGGAAGATTGGACACTTCCTTGTGAATGGGGTGACTGTCATGACATCTTCACGGAAATGGAGCTGTTTCTCCGACATATGTCGAACCATCTCTGTCAAACAGATACAACAACAGGTACGCATAGAAACAAGACAACCACAGGTACTCATAGGAACCAGACAACAACAGGTACACATAGAAACTAGACAACAACAGGTATGCATAGAAACCAGACAATGACAGGTACACATAGAAACTAGACAATGGCAGGGATACATATAGAAACAAGACAGCCACAGGGAAATTACACATAGAAACCAGACAACCACAGGAACACATAGAAACCAGACAACCACAGCAACACATAGAAACCAGACAACCACAGCAACACATAGAAACCAGACAACCACAGCAACACATAGAAACCAGACAACCACAGCAACACATAGAAACCAGACAACCACAGCAACACATAGAAACCAGACAACCACAGCAACACATAGAAACCAGACAACCACAGCAACACATAGAAACCAGACAACCACAGGTGCACATAGAAACTAGATAACCACAGGTACACATAGAAACCAGATAATCACAGGTACACATAGAAACAAGACAACGAACGGAACACATAGAAACTAGACAACCACACATATGCATAGAAAACAGACAACAACAGGTACACATAGAAACCAGACAACAACAGATATGTATAGAAACCAAACAACCACAGGTAAATTATACATAGAAACCAGACAACCACAGGTACACATAGAAACCAGACAACCACAGGTACACATAGAAACCAGACAACCACAGGTACACATAGAAACCAGATAACCACAGGTACACATAGAAACAAGACAACAACAGGTACACATAGAAACCAGACAACGACAGGTACACATAGAAACTAGACAACCACACATATGCATAGAAAACAGACAACAACAGGTATGTATAGAAACCAAACAACCACAGGTAAATTACACATAGAAACCAAACAACCACAGGTAAATTACACATAGAAACCAGACAACCACAGGTACACATAGAAACCAGACAACAACAGGTTATGCATAGAAACCAGACAATGGCAGGTACACTTATAAACCAGATAACAACTGGTACACATAGAAACCAGACAACGGCAGGTACACATAGAAACCATCAAAGGGGTAGTTATAGGCTGATAGCGTTGTACTGGTAACCGCTATTTATGATAGGCTGATAGATTTGTACTGGTAACCGCTATTCGTGATAGGCTGATAGATTTGTACTGGTAAGTGTGCATGCTATTTGTGATAGGCTGATAACTTTGTACTGGTAACCGCTATTTGTGATAGCCTGATAGGTTTGTACTGATAACTGCTATTTGTGATAGCCTGATGGCTTAATTTGTACCGGTAACTGCTATTCGTGATAGGCTGATAGATTTGTACTGGTAACCCCTTTTTGTGATAGGCTGATAGGTTTGTACTGATACAATTTGTAACTGCTATTTGTGATAGGCTGATAGCTTTGTACTGGTGACCGCTATTCGTGATAGGCTGATAGATTTGTACTGGTAACCACTATTTGGGATAGGCTGATAGATTTGTACCGATAACCGCTATTTGTGATAGGCTGATGGCTTTGTACTGGTAACCGCAAATCGCGATAGGCCGATAGCTTTGTACTGGTAACCACTGATTTATGTTTTGAGAAAAATACCTGCAACCAGAAGATTCTTAAAATGATTTTCAATAAACAGATAATATTTGTTGAAAATTTATTTTTTGGCTCACCTGGTTCAAACGACCCTGTTGAGCTTATGCCATACCACACCGTCCGTCGTCCGTCAACTTTTCCTTTAAAACACTACTAGTCCTGAACGGCCAAGTAGATTTTGACTAAAGTTGGTCTGGAGCATCCTTAGGCCAAGGAGACTCAATTTTGTATAAATTGTGGGTGTGGCCCCCATTGGGGCAGAGGGCGGGGCCCCAATAGGGAAAATAGAGGTAAAACCTTTAAAATCCTTCTTCTACCGTAGGGATTAAGGGATTTTATCCTTATTTAGTCTGGAGCATCCTTGGGCCAAGGGGACTCAATTTTGTATAAATAGTGGGTGTGGCCACCCTTGGGGCAGAGGGCCAGGCCTAATAGGGGAAATAGAGGTAAAACCTTCAAAATCCTTCTCTTCCCGCAGGGATTAAGGGATTTTATCCTTATTTAGTCTGGAGCATCCTTTGGCCAAAGGGACTCAATTTTGTATAAACGGTGGGTATGACCCCCCCTGGGGGAATAGGGTTGGGGCTCTGTTTGAAATTTGTTTTCACTATATCTCAAGTACTGGATGGGTAATTTAATATGTACTTACAGCACCTACCATGGAGTGCTATATCTTTACTTCATACCAATTATTTTAAACATATATGTGAGCGATACAGGCCTTCTGGGCCTCTTGTTAGTATTTGTAATTTACATAAAAGAAAGGAAATAATATAAATAGAGGACCATTTGAAAAGTAACCAACAATAAATATTTGTAAGTACCTGGTAAATATTAGGAAGAAAATAGACTTTATATACTTTGTAAGTATCTGGTAATGATTAGGAAGAAAATAGACTTTATATACTTTGTAAGTACCTGGTAATGATTACGGAAGTAAATAGACTTTATATACTTTGTAAGTACCTGGTAATGATTAGGAAGAAAATAGACTTTAAACTTTGCGATCGTTGTTACACAAAACTGTACTTGTGACGTGTTGATATGTCTGCCACCTAGAGTGTGAAGAAAGGTCCTCTGCAGATTGTGTTGCTGTTTGGTTTGTTTAGGACACCGCCATTTTGAGTCATGCACACATGCTTTTCCTTTTGGGACAAGGTCACTTGTTATAACTCAGTATATCTCTCTTGGTAATGGGACTAGTATTAATTTTGATGATGTCGTTAGGGATTTGCTTGAAAAAAATTAGGAACTGCACCACTGTTGTCTCAACAACTTTTTTTCTGACAAAATGAAATTCAAATATATATGATGATGTGATTGACTTTGTACAGAGGATGGGCACCAGTGTTGTTGGAGAGAATGTGGTACGGAGGTTCAGGGCGAGAATTACGACTTTTACCGACACGTTTACTTCCATTCTTTCCATGTGAAGATCAAATGTATCGGTTCACTATTGATCAACAAGCTGGGAATGGACAATTGTCTACTGGATACCCACACACGGAACCTGATCCCAGAACTTCCGGAACGACTCCAGTGCGGCTGGCACATGTGTGAGGTAAGCACGGATCAATCCCAGAATTATCAGATAGGATCAGCTTTATTTAGATTCTATTGGCATACTGTGTTTATCCTGCAATACGCCCAGGTGTCCAACACATCATCTCTGACTAAAAGTAGGAGGATGGGCTTTTTACAATGAAAACACTTTTGTTAACATTTCTCTTCCTAACTGCAATATATATCAGTGAGCATATATCCAAGCATGGGCTTATTGTTGGATAAATATGGTTTACAAACAAAAAATTACATAAGCTCCGAAGAGCTTTTGACCAACTTGACTGCATCCCCTGTTGCTGCCACATATATATACAACTGTATGAAGTAAGTAAAGACCAATTTTAGAACCCTATGGTGCATGCACTTTCAATGTGAAGTCAGTTTATAGATCAGTTCGAATTCCTGCTCCCTATTAGAGATGAGATCAGTTTCATTCAGAGTAACTTGTGGGCATACACAAAATATAACAGAAGCTCTCATCTTTCAGCAGCAAGTGAAAAATAATGACCACTACCACTTTACAAAGTAGTATAAAGTGGGCTTATGTTGTAGTACTCTCTCAGTCATCATCTGTCATCAACATTACGGAAACAACATCTCTCTTCTGACAGCAGATTTCAACCTATTTCTGGTGGTGCCTGTATCATCTGTAACTCGTATAGATGAGATTCTGTACATATATCATATATAGAGTTGGTTGATCCTGACTCCTGGGACTGAGGGGCGGGTCTACTACAGCCCCATGTTTGTTTATTTACCTAAAATGATATCTTTTCAAAACCTCTTTGAAGATTGCAATTAATTTTCATACACACCCGGAACCTCCCGGAGGCTTAGGAACGATAGGTCAAAAGGGGTATATATTTGATGATTTTCTGTAAAGAGACATAGATCTTCAAAACTACTTGGCAGGTTTCAACCATATTATGTTAGTAGCATCTTTAACCCATTAAGATCAAATGTTCTATGAATAAAGTGGCTAATATTCCCAGAATATCCTCAAAACTATAATACAGATTTCAGACAACTTCACTACCAAAAATAGCCAGGTAAGCAAGTCATGAAGTGCCTTTTTTCAAATCACCCTGCGTCCATATTCCGTCTGTCCTTAAACAATTCTTGTTAGCGCTATTTCTCAGAAAGTACAGAAGGGATCTTTCTCAGATTTCACTTGAAAGTTCATCATGATCCTTAGTTATGCATATCGATTTTTGGGACTGATCTGAAAACCAAGATGGCCAACAGCCAGCCATCTTGAATATGAGAGTTCAAGTTTGTTAGCACTAATTCTCAAAAAGTACTTGGCATGAGGTATCTTTCCCAAATTTCACATGAAGGTTCCCCATGGTCCCTAGTTATGTATATCAATTTTTTTATACTGATCAGTAAACAAAAATGGCCGATAGGTGCCATCTTGAATTTATCACGTTAAAGTTTGATTTGAATCTTTGTTATCGCTATTTCACAGGAAGTGATGGAGGGATCTTTCTCAAATTTGATAGTAGGTTCCCCTAGGTCTATTTTGTGCTTGTTCACTTTGGAGACTGATCAAATAAATAATATAGCTTACTGGTGGCCATCTTGTTTTTTGACAGTGAATGTTTTTTTTTTTTTTTTTTTTTTTTTTTTTTTTTTTTTTTT